GATGTAGAAAAAAACTTGGATCAACAAAGATTTGATTATTGATATACCTAGTACAATAGAATTATTTCGTGTAGAAAAACACGCTGAAAGGAATTGGCGATCGAATGACCGACCGACCGACACACAAATATAGTAGTACCTCAAACACGTGGCAGAAAAAATACATATGTTGACATAAGTATACTTTTTTCACAATAATTTACTGTAACAGTTATTGATCCCTTGGTTCACATTTTAATCGCACGTGCCATTTGTTATGCTTATCGAGTCAATCAGGAATGCATTCTTGCTGTTTTTACCTTCAGCGAAAATCTATCAAAATAAACGAATAGCAAACGTTAGATCAACCGCAATGATTATTGAGATGTGAAACACATTCAACAGATTCATGTCTTCAATCTGTCGTACTGTCATACTCAGTGTAAGCCCCCAAACGTCGATATCGTATTCAGTAATGTGTGCACATATGTGGAAATAGAATATACCAAAAAAATGTACATGTACAAGAAGAATAAATAGACGTGGTGAGACACGATAGTTTCCCCACAAATAGCATTCAGTGCCTATATTATATGTTCCGGGAATATAGAATACATTGATTGTCTGGAGCATACATAGTTATCATACATTTTGCACACAGACTTAATTAAAAACACGTGGAAGAAAACACATGTTCGTCACATAACACGACAATGCTCTGTTTTACATTTAACACACATTACTAAAATCTCTGACCTACGTACCCGGATATTTGTGTAGTTACTTATTTCCATAGCAACTGTGTAGTTATTGTAGCGTCTTGTTGTTTTCATTCTTTCTTTCTCAATATTATCAAATGACATATATATATCAAGCTCATTGTTCTTGCTTCGAGACCGTCTTTTATGAAAATTTATATTTATGCATTGACTGTCTGGGTTAACTTTCGTTGCCTTGTTGTTCTGAAGTGGGTTTCTCTGACCTGTATTGAAGATCAAACACATATAATTATTAATTTATTTTGTTCATAAATACGGTAGCACATACATACTTGAAAATTCATCCACTGCTTGAACGAAAATTGAAGCTAAACTTGAAAATGTGTACGCTACTTGACATTCAGGCCACTAATTGAAAAAAAATGTTTCAGTGCATAAAATCATGCTTCTTTAATATCAGTTTCCTTCTTGAAAATACTTCACGAAAAATTGCGCTCAGTTTGAAAACACTGTAATATTTTGCTTGCGGATATGACCCGGAAGTACATCGATTTTCTTGTGGACCACGGTCTCCGTAGGTGAATAATTACTGAGGTGACTGACGCAAAGCTAATATGTTTATTTCACTATCGACATTGTCACTGATGTTGATTCTGATTGCGAAATTGACATGTAATCAATTCTAAAAGAAAATGTTAAGAATTTTTTCCAGTGAAATCAGATAATATTTACACAATCAGAATGTTGTTTTCCTCAGCTTTAGGATATCATATGCGCGATTTCACTTAAATAACATTCCGTCGCACAACGTAGTCCCAGATAAGGTTATTGGTATTTACGTTTCTGTAGTATTCAGATATTAATGAATAGTTCGGTAAACAACTTCTGCAAAATGATCGTACAAATTGACATGATTGACCACTAAATTTTAAGGCTGCCTCAGTTAACCTGGAAGGTAATATTGCGCAAAGCACGGGGTCTTTGGGAAGCAGATTGACCTGTAGCGTATGATTTTGTTATTTCAAGCAACGCGCCGATCACCAACGCATTTGTTCTCATGAAGTGTTCGGGGATTTATATGTATATGACATTAATGATGAAACACTGACCAAGCTTGGGAGAGCTGAGAAGAAACTACAAACTCATAGTTCTCATAACGGTTAATCTGACAGGCTTGCTGTTCACGATGTTGGTTTTGTTTTACTTGTGTGTTGAATCATCGCTATCCATCAGTTAAGCATGATGCGTTACGGCCATTTGCTATAAGTTTAGTATACGACTTTTATGAGTAAAAATTATTACAAATTCCAAATGAATGCAGCAGGATAATGGTCCTCTTCAACATTATGGATTTTGGTCAAACTAATTTAAAGTTCTAACTGAAGGCCTTTAAAAATATGGGAATTTCTGAAAAAAATATATTCAAAGATGTTTTGGGACGGTGGGTTTTATGCCCGGCGAAGTTCTTCTACCTGAACTACCCGGACCTAGGGCGGATTTTTCATCCCAGAAAAGGACTCATAGTTGGGTTTTACCAGCCAACTATTTTTGCTTCAGCATTTATTGCGTATATGCCGAGTAAGTACAACCAACAATCGGGCTGCAGAAATATTACCTAAAACTCATCAAATTCGCAGTATTACTTCGTTACTGAAATTTCCCATTCGCTATGAACATGCTCGGATATTTCTTAGTCTGTCGTCTATGTGTACCATTCCTTTATGCATTTACAAAAATGTATAGATGATATCAATTAATTAGTTTACATACCTTCCACATTTACAGAAAATCCCCAGTCGCTATGAACAAGCTCGGATATTTCTAAGTTTGTCGTCAATGTGTACCATTCCTTTATGCCTTTACAAAAATGTATAGGTGATATGTCGGTAGAATCGAGGCGTTTAAACAGCGACACAGTGTTCGACGACAAAACACTGTCATTATTGCAATCGTCAAGTATAGCACTTTTAAGTTGTCGAAAATTGAGAAGATCAGTCTCAAAATATGGTCCTTGTTGTTTTATTTTCTGCCACAATGTTCTGTTAAATCTTTCATAGATTTTAACATCAATATTGTTCCATTCGTGTATTTTCAGCTTCAGTATGTCAGGCACAGCAAAACGGTCTGTACGCACTCTTCGTGAGATGTAAAGTATGTCAACCATTTTCCAACACATAATACGTTTTAGAAGTATTAAGGATTCGTCATAATATTCATTAATTAAAATTAGATCAATTTCTTTATCTAACTGTGAAAAGTAATCCTCTACTATTTCTTCATGGTCATGGTACTTATGATCGAGTCCGAGATGCCATGCTTGGCTGTTCCGAGCAACACGCCAGTTACGTGTGCCATACTTAATCTTACCACGATAGAATGTTGGATTGTTCAGAAATCTCGTGAGTCTAGGTAATATAGTATTGCCCGGTATATGTTCACCAAGGTGAAAAAACGCAAACACAGATGCAAAGTGTGCCACGGGTTCGCGAACTATGGACACATAAACTGTATTAGGTGTTTTCAATTGTACGTTCAATCCGTTCTCATTGACTGATTCCACATGCACTGTGGAGCCTTGTATTGGAAGAATTTTCCTTTCGGTTCTAGGTATCCCCGCAATGTGCTGTCCTTGGATGAATGTTGATGTAGGCCTAATATGGTACATTGTCATATACCCCCACGAATTTCGGTATTTATGAAATAAAAATTTTCTCTGTAGATTGTGTTTGTATCGTTTAGCAAACATGCTAAATATAGTAACTAATGTGGTGCTGCCTGTTTTTCTATTAAATATATATCCGATGTCACTGAGTTGAGAACAACTACCTGACTGTAGTGCCATATTGTCGCCATCAATGGAACTGAAATATAAATGAAAAAAACATCACCCACTAAAACTAGTTTGGAATGTTAGTAGTCTAATGAATTTCGGTAAAATGTGTGAGACATGGAACGCCAATGTGTAACAATGTAGATATGTGTTAATATAGGCTCTCGTTAAATGCATCTCACCTGACATGATCTTTTAAATTAAATCGTGTGACGATAACGTTGTTTGGCGATACCAGTCTTCTAATCGTAGTACTAGTGGACACTGTGTACAACAGCAATAGCATACACGAAGCGATAACTAAACCACCAAATGCATATTTGTACTGTAATAAAAATATTAATAACAAATAATGAGTATGAATATTAGTTATACAGGTGTCATGCTAACATAATAACGCACATACATTCGTATATAACTACAGTAACTGTGCATATATTTCAAAACGGTCGTTTAAACCGATAATTACAGCGTGGGGGTGATTGGTTTAATTATATAGACATGTCAGTTCTGTGACAATGTAGTGAACGCATGGCAAGCAATCCAGAACCAATAATTAATATTCGTTAATTGTACTAACCTTACAGGTGTTGTTGTTAGTTACAGTGTTTGCAGACATGTCCGGACTTATATACACAGATATACACCAACAAACATGCACAGTCTTGCACAATTTAGTGTGAATTTAACAGCTGGTCAATCATTCTTTCCAAAGAATGTCTGTACTTCCAGTTCCCTATAAATAAAGCGAGACAGAAGGTATTATTTAAAAAGTCAGAGCTGACGATTATCGCCGTCAACTAAAAGGTTCAGTACATATGTTATAACAGTCATAACAGCTTAGAATTAGTTACGCAAACGCATACGGAATTAGCGACAATAACAATCTGCCGAAAACTCGAATTTATATTTATCTGTTCTCTATTTTGTTATTTTCAGTTTATTTCGTTTATATCGAGTTGAATATGGAATATGTAGTAGTCGTACTTGTAATGTTTAACAAGTTCATTAATGAGTGACAAAACTAGGTCACCGAGTTTACATGCTAGGGAACAGTGAGCGGTCTGAACCCGAGTAGCATGTAAACAAACATATTTGCCAGCCAAAGTTCATTATTTCGTCACCGTCATCATTTAATAATATATATATTCATCATATTATAAACTGTGTCAAACTTCAATGTCATGTATATCACCGCAGAACCTGTGTATTCAATTCAATAGTTCATGTGTAATACAAATGATTATTTGTTTCAGTACCTCGATAAAAAAAATCGAGTCCGTGAATTACCTATTGAATCATCATTGGAACTTCAATATTTGAAATTGGAGAAAATGCTATAAGTCGTACTACTTTGAAATATTTTCAGCAAATAAGGTTACGCCTGAACACATGGCCGTACATGGAGCTGGTCCCATACTGTTGTATCATTGTTTATTTTACATCGGACTAAACCGCACGGCGACGAGTCGGCACAAGACGTCTTTATTCGGGAAAAGCTTTGAGATAAAACGCTCCCAAAGAGTGTGAATAATACTGACTACACTGGCTAACATGGCTCTTTTAAAACAAAAAACAACCAACAACAGACATAGTGCACTTTGCGGAAGGTATGATTCGCCCAGTAGCACCAAGGATTCGTCGTTCATAGCTACACGTAGTGTAATAATAGTATGAATACAGTATGTCGTGAAATACGCCAACAAACATACACACGTCAGCTGTGTGGATTGCTCATTTTCTTACCTTGAAAATAGTATGATGTTAAGACTTGTTGCCGATCTAGTCACGTCAATATTTACTGTGCGAATGGATCTGCTTAGATAACACCAATGTATGTGCAGTGAATTGTTATCTTGATTCGGTCATCTATAATATTTGATTAATACACACTGCGCCCTCTGTGGTAGCGGAACAACTCACCGGAATCATGAAGAGACACACATGTTGCTAAGACCATCAATAGTGATCATATAAATACGAAGGCCTATAAATTCTATGTTACGTCACGTTATTCATAACAACAACGAATTTAAACATTGCAGGGAATCGACTGAGTTTCTACTTTAGACTGTTTAACTATTGTTTTAATAATTTAAGCAAGCAAATAACACCGAATAAACGGCAAGGTAAAC